AGATAGATAGATAGATAGATAGATAGATAGATAGACAGAGACGGAGACAGAGACAGACAGACAGACAGATAGATATACTGTAGATATAGATAGAGAGACGGGTGAGGGAGAGGGGGAGTGAGAGAGAGAAAGTAGAGACAAATGTATTTTTTATTCTGTACCTCCAGAAGATGCACTGCTTGAAAGGCAGAATATAAATATATCGAAGATAAATAAATAAATACATGCATGAATATTGCACAATATCCCCCTGGAGGAAAAAAAAAACCCAGATAGTTGAGTTAAATGTCCTGGAAACAGTGAGTAAACTTGACGTCCTTCAATATGTCTCGTTTATTTGGTGGCTCCTTTTGCTTCTGGCAGCCCCATTACTTCCCATTTGTCATTGTCATGTTTATTTTGTTACTCCTTGGTTTGCTTTTTGTTTCCTCATTTGTTTTGCTTCGATTCAATCAGAGGCTCGCATTGTGTTCTGATTCCTAAACTTCCTGAACTTCTGATTCCTAAACTTTGGATTCTTCCATTGAAACAGCGCATTTCCCAGCCCTGAAAAAACTCCTGTTAGGCAGCGCATGTCTCTCTGCTGCAAAATGTATATGCTGCAATACCTCTCTGCTGCAAAATCTTAAAAAAATTGCTGTAGAGGTTAAGGCACCAGGCTAACAACCAGCAGACTGTGAGTTCTAGTTCTGTCTTAGGCATGAAGCCTGCTGGGTGACTTTGGGATTGTCCTTCTCTCTCTCTCTCTGCCCTAGGAAGGGGCAATGGCCAACCATTTCTGCAAACTTGCCAAGAAATTCAAAGGCACACAGACAAAAAAAAACCCCTAGCATCCCATCCTCTAAAATAACATGGTTTTTAAAGAAGTAATGAAAGGTTCCAGGCATTAATAGTCTTCTGCAAGTTTTAAATAATGTCAAATTCCTCATTGGCCTTGTTGTCATAATTTTGCTTGGGCTTTCATGGGGACAAGACTGAAAAAGTTATATTGTGCTGTCCAGACAGTTTAGAGTTAATGGGATTTGGGATAGTTAGTTAGGATTTGTGAGCTGTCCCCTTAAAGGAATGCCTCATGGTAAATGTAGTTAAGGTATCCTGGGAAATGTAGTCCATGTCCTGTGGTCACATCTGTAATCCTGATGGGTCACTAAATTGACCCTTGTTGGGTTGGGGGAGGCTTCCTCACTCTTGCCGGAACACAGCCTCGTGGTGGCAGCCTCTGCGACTATGGGAGAGAAAGACTAATATCATTTACACTACGATTTCAACTATACAAAGAATTAGATGCATCTCGACATAACTTTATTTTTTTTTTATTTATTCATTTTGATTTGTCAATCGCTTACAAGATAATAGGTATAAGTTTATACATAGTTATGAATACATGAAATGGGTACATATAAGAAAAATAAAAGAAACAATAGGACAGGGACGGTAGGCATGTTGGTGCGCTTATGCTGTATAACTGTGAGTCATCTTGAGGATACCTAATATAATCCAATAAAAGAAACTTTGTATGGAAGAATTTATAGAGTTATTCTATATATTCAGCAAGTGAATCATAAAACAGAATATATATAGAAATACATTTTTTTTCCTTTCGCATCACCTGCTTTTAAATTAGCCTGAGGTGAAATGAAACAAACAAAATGTTAAAAAGGTATGATATTTGTCTGATTACTTACCAAACACATCTAAATTATATTAAAGTAATCAAATTCCCTTTACAATCCCCAAGGCATGTCACAACGTTTGGGTATCCTTAATGTTTGGAAATTGAAAGCTGAAAAAGTTGACACGCCCTACAAGATGTTTTCAAAATGTACCATTTCCCTCCCTGAAAATGTTGAGGTGGGAAAGGGGGATTAGCTACCGTAAATCTGGGAATGACAGGTAACCTGCCTCCATTGTTGGGAGTGTAGATTAAAGTCGAGATTAAAGACACATAAAGCTGCACTTCCCATAATCTCTACTGGTTCCTCTCTGATTATTTGGGGTTCTTGGTCCTACCTCAGCCTCTTTCAGCAGCATCCTGCCATATATTACGACAGGGGCCAGAGGAAACACGAAGAACCATCTTCTGATTGTTCTAAGGTAAGTACAGTTTTCCTCGCTATCCACAGATCTATTGTTTTCCTGATGAAGATTTAGCCAATGCACTTCTCCATGCCAGGAAAACTCCTGCATGGTATCTTCTAGAAAGACACCAGCAAATTTGACTGCTTGAAGGCAAAGATTCTGAAAAGCAGAAAGGGAAATTCAACAACTTTCAGCGAGAGAGCAGAGAGGCAGAGTAGAAGATTCATTGCAGGAGCAACCCAGGTTTATCTTGGTTAACCTGTCTCTTTTATTTTGCTTCCTTTTCTTCCTGCAAGTCTTCACTGTATCCCAGCTTAGAGATTAGCTAAGATCTTAATTAATAAAATCTATTTATTCAGCATTAATATTTTGAGATATTTTTTTTTTATTACGAGCTAAAAAACCATGTTGGAATTGGCTTCATATTTCATTTTTAATGCTTTGTATTTCACCCCTCATAACTGTCCTTTTTTGCTGAGACTTCTGGATTTTATCTCCAGTTTCTCTTTAAGGTTCAGTTCACCCTCGAATTTTCAGTTCCTGTCTTTTAAGCATCAGATCTCTTTTTCCTTTCTCTCCTTTAATCTTTTTTGAAATGAAAAATCTCATCAGCAGGAAATCTTTCCTTCGCATTATGCAAACAAACAAATAATATGTATCCTCCTGGTTATTCCAAATTATTTTATATTATTATTTTTAAGCAAAAAAAAAAGGGGGGGAATCTGGATGTCATCTTCGAGTGTGAAACTTTTCAACGGGTGTGAAAATTGGAGCCCTTGTCTAAGTAAGAAAAACATTGCTGCATTTAGATATATTGATCTGCTCCACCAAGCAAGTTCTTACATTTGAAACTAACAACTAAGGAAATAAATATCCTGGCCCGGTTTGTGATCTTTTGACCTCCAAACAATTAAGCGTGGGTAGCAGTTATAAGTTTATCTGCCCTTCTTTTTCATGCCAACTCTCATGCTTCGTGCTTTTGCTTCAAAGGGAGAAGTGACCAGTGAAGAACTGGCTTGGTCAGAGGAAATGAGCAACACAACGGATGCCCCTGAATCCTTGGATTTCAGATCCTTGAAGAGAAGGATGCCAATTGCCTCTACGGTGATCTACAGTCTTGCGTTAGTGATGGGGGTGTTTGGCAATGGGCTGGTCATCTTCATCACTGGCTTCCGAATGAAGAAGACCGTCAACACGGTCTGGTTCTTCAACTTGGCCACTGCGGACATTATCTTCATCTTTTTCCTGTTTTTGGCTCGCGCTGCTCTGGTATTCCAGTCGTCCACGAGCCTGGCCTTGTGCAAGATCCACAGCACCCTCATCTTCCTCACCCTCTATGCCAGTGTTTATCTCCTCATGGTCATCAGCATTGACCGTTGCATTTCTGTCCGGTATCCGGTCTGGGCTCAGAATCACTGAACCCCTCGGCTGGCTTCTTTTGTGGTCTTGGCTGTATGGATCCTGGCCCTGTTGTGTTGTGTTCTCTAGTTATATATTTCAGAAAAACAGAAGTAAATCCAACCCACAAGGATCCTCTTCATTGCTCTAACTCTTATGTTTGAAGTGATCAAAGATGCTGCAATGGTCACTGGCCGGTTCATCTTTGCCTTCGTCATTCCCTTCTCTGTCATTCTTCTCTGCTACGGGGTGATTGTCTTCAAACTGCAACATCCTAACCAGCCATGTTACAGCTCCCTTATTTTCCTTTATTCACTTATGAAAGCCTAATAGTTTGATTACACCATTTTATTATTTTCCCTCATATTGAAACAGAGCCATGTCTCATCTAGATGATAAAGCTTCTGTTCTCATCTAACACTCTTTTGTGGAACTGCAACAACTATTTGTGTTTTAATATGTGAGTTTTTTTCCCGGGGGGGGGGAAGGGGGAATAACAGGATGTTATTGCTAGCTTTTATGAAATATGATATGAGTTGTTCCTTCTTATTCTCCAGCTTGGTTTAACAGTGTGAAATGTAGTTGAAGCATGCTTAAATAAAATGGAACGTAAAATTATTTGTCAGGACAATTATTTAAAGTGCACAGATGTTTATCATGGTCTATCCAAACAGGACATTGATTTATGTCCTGATCTTTGGGACTACAACTCCCAGATTTCCCATATAGCAAAGCTGTTGCTCCCACTGCCACAGAATCCTGGATATTATCAACTCTCCCCCCATATTTCGGGAGTATCAAACTGAGAAAGTTTGTAGTCAAGGCTGTTTTCTTTTTAAGCAAGAACCTTTCATTTAATTACCATTAAACCCAGGGATGGGATTCAGCCGGTTTGGACCGGTTTGGGCGAACCGAATGTGAAATTTACACCTGGTTTGCCAAACGGGTAGTTGAACTGAGCGCGCAGAGGCTCTGGGAGGGTGAAAAACGGGCCCCATGGAAGTCTGGAAAGAGGCCTGTTCTGGCTTCCAGAAGGTCTCCGGAAACCCGGGGGTGGCCGTTTTTGACCTCCCAAAGGCCCAAGGAAAGCCTCCTGACCCCGGGGAAGGTGAAAAACTCCCACCGTGGCCACCCCAACCAGCAACCAGGCAGCAAATTGGGATTTTTGAATTCCACCCCTGATTAAATCCCTCCGTTTCTCTTCACTTTTCCCTTTTGTGCCCCCTACAGTAAATAAACAGGTGTCTCTGTTGGGAAAGCCCTGCCAGATTTGAACTGAAAGCTCCGTCTCTCTGTCAGCCCAACTCAACTCACAGGGTTTGTTGTTGTGAGGAAAACAGGAGGAGGAAGTTGTGTTGGTATGACAATAGAGCAATAGAGAATAGGTACGAGGAGGCTGTAGTAGAATTTCACAAGAAACTGTGGGGAAGGAAGCAGGTTAATACTACTATAAATAGTAGCCACAACCAAGCAAGGTTTCAACACAGATTTTTAAAAAGGAAAAAAAAAAACTTCAACTGTGACTGTGTTCAAACACCTTTTGGCCACCTTCGTAATTTTTACACCCATCCACACATGCATAGGGGAATCCCTTAAAATCTAAATATTCCTGTTAAGTTTGAGCAATGAGAGGCTGAACCAGAGCATGAGTGCAACAGTACTTTATTTTACAAATAAAGGGCTGACCGTGCTTGCCAAGCCTGGAACTGGCTCGCAGCAATCAGCAGCCAGTTGGACCCCGCAGCCTGCTTTTATAGCTGGCTGCTGGGGAGAACTGACCAATGGGAATGGGGGAATAACGCCCACACAAAGTGAGTGGACCTGAGTGAGAACTCCTTGAGTCCTCAGGACATAACACCCCTTCCCCCCAGATGCGAACACGCATAGTCCTTGAGGTAGATGGGGGGTTTGTGTTGGCGCCCGGAGCGGCGCAACTCGGGAACATTGTCTGACTGTTCGGTATCAGTCTGTGACGGTTGAGCTGGCATAGTGTCGCCAACACTCTCTCTGGACTGGGCATCCTCGGAAACCACCGGGTTGGTTTCTGGAGTCAAACTCTCGTGGGTTGGATCCGGTTGGTCAACTCTCTGGGCGCTGTTGTCCGAGTTTGGGCTGACCGGAACGACCGCTGGCGCAGACTGGTCACTGGGTGCGGTGTGGCTGGGTGGCGGATGGGACGGATCCCCTTCGACTGGAGACTCTGGATTCTTGTTTGCGAGGTTGCTGAGGCGCCTTCTGAGTTGGTCTATGTGTCTCCTCCAGATGCGACCATCCTCCAGCCTGACTCTATATGATCTCGGCCCGGTGACGGCGATGACCTCGCCCGGAATCCAAAGTGGGTCCCCAGCGAAATTCCTTGCGAATATCGGCTCCTGTAACATAAAATGTCTAACCCCCGAAGTGGAAGCGAGGGGAGAGTCAGGGCAGTATTGTGGGTGCAGTCTATCTAATACAGTCCTCAGGCGCCGGCCCATCAGAAGTTCCGCTGGGGACTTATTGGTGACTGCACAGGGGGTTGAGTGCTGGCTCATCAGGAACCGTGAGAGTTTGTGGTGCCAGTCATCTCTGCCAAACCTAGCGAGGGCCTCTTTGGTGGTCCTGACGGCCCTTTCAGCCAACCCATTACTCGCAGGGTGAAATGGGGCTGTGAAAATGTGGCGAATGCCTAGGTTGGCTGCAAAACGGCTGAATTCTACTGATGCGAACTGTGGGCCATTATCGGAGACCAAGGAGTCGGGTAGTCCATGGGTAACGAACAGGCGCGTTAACACGTTGGTGATTGCTAGTGTGGTGGTCGTGGATAGCTGCGCCACGTCTATCCACTTGGAATAAGCGTCCACGACCACTAGGAACATCTTTCCATGCACGGGGCCGGCCAGATTGATATGGATTCTAGACCAAGGGGCGCTGGCGCTCTCCCATCTGGTAGGGGTGGCGATGGGGGGAGCAGGACGGGATTCCTGGCAAATGCTGCAGGAACTTACCCAATTGACAATGTCCTCGTCTAGACCCGGCCACCACACGTAGCTGCGTGCCAACGCCTTCATTCTCACAATGCCGGGGTGTCCCTCGTGCAACGCTTCCAGGACTCGGGTACGCAGCGAGGTCGGGATGACCACTCGAGTGCCCCACAGTAGACAACCCTGCAAACTGGACAGCTCCTGCATGCGAGTCTTAAAGGGTGCGAATTTGTTATCAACATTGCCTCCCGGCCACCCCCTCCTCACCCAGTCGAGCACCTGGGCGAGCGTTTGGTCTGCCTTGGTTTTGGCGGCGATGTCAAGGGCGGTGATGGGCAGGTCCAACTGGGTGATTTCAAAAATGGCATTGACAGGAGCTGGGTCTTCAGCCGGAGCGGGTAAGGGGCAGCGACTGAGTGCGTCAGCGTGGGATAGAGTTTTGCCCGGGCGGTGGATAAGTTTGTATGAGTAGGCCGCTAGGAAAAGCGTCCACCTTGTCATCCGAGGGGAGAGGACTTGAGGTGTCTGTTTGTCGCCGGCCAGTAGGCCCAGGAGGGGCTTATGGTCGGTGACCAGTTCGAAGAAGTGCCCAAAAAGGAATTCGTGAAACTTTTTCACGGCTGCAACAGCTGCTAGGGCTTCCTTGTCTATTTGGCTGTAATTTCGCTCCGTGGCCGAGAGCGTCCTGGAGAAAAAAGCGATGGGGGCCTCGGCGCCATTGGCGAGTCGGTGACTAAGGACCGCCCCAATTCCAAAAGGGGATGCGTCTGCTGCCAGTACTAAAGGAAGGTTGGGGTCGAATTGGATGAGCACTGCCTCTGACGTAAGTAGTGATTTGACGGCGTTAAACGCCTGGTCTTCTTTGTGCCCCCAGTGCCACGGTGACTTTTTGTCTAGTAATCTGTGTAGGGGTTCGGCTACTGAGGCTTTATGGGGCAAAAAGGATGCATAAAAGTTTAGGAGTCCCAAGAAAGCTTGTAGCTCCGTTTTGGAGGTCGGTGTGGGAGCTTCGTGGATCGCCCTGACCTTGGACTCCAGGGGGTGAATGCCAGAGGCGTCAATTTTATAACCCAGAAAGTCCACCTGTCTAGTGGCAATGGCGCATTTTTCTTTTTTTAACTTGAGGCCATGCTGTCTGAACCTCTCTAACACTGCTCGCACTCTCTGGAAGAGTTGGGGTCTGTCCCTGGCCGAGACCAAGATGTCGTCGAAGTAGGGTACTACACCAGGGAGGCCCTGTAAAATCCGCTCCATGAGGGATTGAAAAATACCCGGGGCAACACTTACGCCAAATTGGAGACGCTTGCATCGGAAGGCACCCCTGTGAGTGACGATGGTCTGAAGTTCCGCTGTTTGGTTATCAACAGGGAACTGTTGATATGCTTGAGACATGTCCAATTTAGCAAAAATACTGCCCGGTTCGAATGTGTGCAATAAGTGCTGAATGACGGGCACGGGGTAGGCGCTAACTTGTAAATATTTATTGATTGTTGTCTTGTAGTCCGAGCAAATTCTCAGGCTACCATCTTTTTTGAGGGGTGTGACAATGGGCGTCTCCCACTTGGCGAAATCTGTTGGCTCAATGACCCCTTGTTTTAGTAGTTTATCCAATTCAGCGTCTAGTTTTGGTCGAATAGCAAATGGAACTCTACGTGGTTTTAATCTGATTGGGACTGCCTGGGGGTCAACGGTGAACGAGATGGGGGTTCCATTATAACACCCCAGCTCCTCGCTGAACACATCTGCGTAGTCAGCGAATAAGGAGTCAGTGTCTGAGGTTGAGACAGCATGGACTCCTGTTAACCCTAGGCCGAGGTGGGGAAACCAATCGAGCCCCAATAAGGTGGGTAGATTGCCGTTAACTACCACTAGAGGTAGGTGGCCTTTAAAAGCTCTAAAACTGACAAAGAACTTGCCTCTGCCGATCACGGGAATGGCCTTCCCCTGGTAGTCCTTCAGACCGAACTGGCATCTCTGAAGCCGGGTAGTAGATAGGCTGGGGTGGAGTCTCTTGAGGGTGTTCCACGAGATTATTGAGAGCGCTGACCCTGTGTCAACCTCCATGTGGCACGGTTTACCTTCTAGGGAAACGGAGAGAGAAATTTTACTGACAGAGTGGCAAGTACGCCTGGCAAGGCGGTGCGTGCGACAGTTTAATACTTGCCTCTGTGGTCCCGAGTGCGAGGACGGGGGTCTTTGTGCAGCGCTTTGGGGGGCTTGGCAGACTCTCGCAATGTGCCCCCTCTTATGGCAGTTGTTGCAAACGGCTCCTTTAAACTTGCAGGTGGCCCTTTGATGTGATCCCCCACAGGCTAGGCACAGGGTGATGTGCTTGGGTGGACCGGTGTATTCTTGTTTGGCCCCTACCTGCGACCGTCTGTCATTGGTGAGGCGATGGACATCGTTCTCATCGTTGTGGCCTTCCTCCGCTTCCACCTCTTCGGAATGGACTGGGAACGCTGCTAGCTTGGCGCTTGGGCCCTGAATTTCGGAGGCTGAGTTTGTTGCTAGCTCGGCTGCTAGGGCCTCCTCTACCGCTTGCGCGAGGTTGAGGTCTTTTTTAGCTAGCAGTCGCCTCTGTAGGTTGAGATCCTTGACCCCACAAACTAATTGATCGAGGAGCATGTCCTCCAGGTATGTTCCAAACCCGCAGTGCAGGGCTGCTGTTCTGAGGGCGGCCATATATTGGTTGATGGTCTCCTTACTTGATTGCTTCCTCATTCGGAACGTGAACCTCCTGGCGATTTGTGAAGGCCTGGGAGCGTAGTGGTTTGTGAGGATCTCAAGCAACTCGGACCACGGAACGTTTTTCAATTCTCTCGGCGCCACGAGTGCTGCAGCGGTATCGTAAACGGTGGCTCCGCAGTAGATTAGGAAATAGGATTTTTTCCGATGCTCTCCCGCATCCGACAGGCCGACCGCATCGATGTAATGATTGAAACGGTTCTTATACGATTCCCACTTCTCTTCGTCTGGTTTAAACGCCGGGAATACTGGATTGGAACTCATGGTGCTGGAAACGGCTGGGCTACCTGCAGGAAAAATCTCTCTGGGACTACGAACGCTCGTGAGTTACTAGTGATATCAGCTCTGGAGAGGTTTTTTTGCTACCCTCTCTTTCTCTCTCTCTGGGTTACCACGTTGGCTG